TGAACATGCTATTATATATATATTATAATATATATATATAGAGAGAGAGAGTGTGAGTGTATATATTATATACTCTTCATGTGAAAACTACATGAGAAATGACCACATGAGAAGGAGGCAGTGGGGATGAGCACTTTAGCTCTGCCCTAGAGGTGGACAAATCTGTCGGTCTTGATTTTCCCAATTTTCTCATTTTTCCAACCGTAAATCGAGTTCGCCACATTCCCACAGCTGTTTGGGTTCTTTTTGGTAACTCGTCTTAATGATAAGAGTATTCTCATCTTCAATAGATTTTAAATAAATATTTTGCAAGCTGCTTTAAACTTTTGGAAGGGAAAACACACATATTTATAAAATAAAAGAAATAAGACTGACAAGTTGACAGTAAGGTCAAGACTGAGATTCATTTTCATTGAGTGACCCTAAGTTGTACTAGTTTGAGAGAAAATAAGAAATCTATTATTTTTACAGTTCTTAATTTTTCAAACTTCTGTTTATGTTCTCCCTTAGTCTGTCAAAATTTAAAAAAACACCAACCAACCAACCAACCAACCAACCAAATGCTTTTCCTATACTTCAAGGGGAGATGTTCTGAACTCTTGAAGAGCCTGATGATGCTTTCTCTATCTTTTTCACCTGGAGATGGGTGGCAAATAGATTGTGGGACTTCGGCACTTTAGCATAATGCTGCATACCAAACCACAACCCTACTACACTAAAGGGAGTTAGATAAGGCAATGAAATTAATATGATCAGAGATTACTCTATTTCTGTTGCTTTAAAGTGTGGTGTGAATGTAGACAGTTTCCCCCCTGATGTATCCTGCCAACATGTTTCATTCAGGGGCAAAAGGTTTCCTGCATATTTGTTTTGCTCTAAAAGCACCATGTCTTTGAATTCCATACTGAGCTCCAGAATGAATCATGCTGTCAAAATTCATGCAATAGGAACAAATTGTGTTCACCAAGAATGAATCTTAGTGATATAATTGATAAACTGACAATATGGGGAAATAATTGAAAAAGCTGGAAGGGAACTTAGAGGATAGATGAGGAAAATGGGAGAGTAATGAGCATTTGTAAATAAAACCCACAAACAATAAATTCAAATTACAGGCTGACAAGCGGGAAATAATCAGTGCATTTTGTTAAGCTAAGGCATGCTGCTCCTTCAGGGAAACCCCAGCTTGGAAAAGTATTGGAAGAGCAATCAGGACGAGAATAAGAATGAGGGAACTTTCTTGTGGGCTTTTCTAAATGTCAGGCACGAGCCGGCGAGTGTCTGATTTAGCCCTTGGCGTCTCTCCTTAAATAACTTAGCTTGCATAATAAAAGCAAAGGTGCTGTCAGTTCCTTTTGCTTCTGTCAATGTCCAATCAATCAGTGCCGCTTTTTGCTAGTTTCTGCATGAAAAGTAGTTGGTAGAGAAAGAATTGATTGGCGCTTTGGCTAGTCTCTCTAATGCAGCTGCTTTAAGTGAACGGAGCCTCAGTCCTATATTTACTAACTTGAACTCAGTGAGACTTACGTCTGAGTAGACATGTATATGAGTGCATTGCTAATTAGGCACACTAGACCTTACACGATAGATGCATGTTACCATCTCCCAAAGTGTATTTTTTTCTTTTAACAAAAACATCTGTGGAAGGTGGCAAACATTAGTCAGCATGTAGCACAGAGGACTTGTATTGATTCCATAGTGGTTTTTGTCCAGTATATAATTAGTGGTATGGTGGTATGGACAACCAGTATAGACTGCTCATTTGATGCTGGCTTTTGTGTGCATAACTAACCTCAATATTTCCATCACTTTTCATGACAAAGGATGGCATTCAACTAATGAGTTCTCCCCCTCCTGGTGCGCCCCTGTGCCCCCCAATATTGGGGTGAGGACAACTGCTGGAAGAGCATGGCAGAGAAGAAGGGGGGATCACTCTGTCTGGCAAGCCCAAATTCTTGCCCTGACAGAATAATTTGCCTTAGTGTAACATTTAATCCCCCTAAAGGCTCTGTGCCTGTAACAAAATACACTATATGTATTTGAAAGAACCTTTATTTAATCCCTAATTAGGTTCTCACAATTGTTGTGGTTTGGGCTTCTCCATTGGAATCATTCTAGAATGTGAGAGTAGCAAATCCCTTTAGTACAATATAACAAACATTTTGAACAGCTTTGACAGGTTTTTGCTTTGGGGAGCAGTTTGGATGCTCCTACAGTTTGGCAATTTACATATATTTGACATGTAATTTTGTTACTAACAGCTGAAAAACAGCTAAGAACAAAACTGAAGGTGAGTTTATGGCTAATTTTTATCAATGAAGCTCACAAGAAGGTAATATTTATTTTTAATCTTGTGCTTATAATACATCCCAGTGTGATGAAATCAAGATAATAGCCACCTGAAAGAAACAAGGACTGACTATAGCAGAGGTCATCAGTGTGGTGACCTCCAGATATTTGGGCTACGAATCCCAGCATCCTTGACCATTGGCCATGCTGAGTCGGGCTAATAGGAGTTGTAGTTCAAAACATATGGAAGGCACCATGCTGGGATGAGTATGTTAGGTCTGCCTCCATCATTGTTTAGGTCATTCTCCAAATCATGGTGAAGAAAATTCTGAAGTTGGGAGCCTCCTGTACTCATGAAAGCTCCCCACATGCTTTAAAACTCTGGTTTTCCGGAACGATGAAAGAGGGGCAGAAGTAGCGCACTCCCTGAATTGGAGGGCAACCAAAAGAATGGTGGAGTGGAATTAGGCACATGTCTCAACTTCCTCCCTCACGTGTTTTGTTTGAGGCAAGTATAGAATTCTTGAAAAGGGCTTCAGTCTTTGTCTCCTACCTAAACACACACAAGGGACCCATGAAACGGACTGCCGAATAGCCTGTTACCTACCTGCAACTGCCACCACTGCTATCAACACAACTAGCCAGGCCACTGTAGCTCTTCATTACTTGCCAGAATTTATGTTTCTAGCACTGCTGTGCCAGCCTAAGATCTGTGGGCAGCAAGCCAGGCTTCTCTGAGGAGGAGCAGAATCAAGTGGGTGCTGGCAAGCAGTGGGGCTGTTGCTGCAGAGCTGGCCTGACCTGCAATAAGTCCTGTCTTTCCCATTGCTGTGCCCACCACAGATCTAAACTGCTTAGTGCTGAGACTTGTTTTTTCAATTTTATAAAATGATTTCAAATATTCAAACAAACTAACAGCCAGCAAAATAAATAGTCAGTTACGGTATATTTTGTAATTATTAATAGGAGGTAAATATGTTTTTGGGGACGCGGGTGGCGCTGTGGGTAAAAGCCTCAGCGCCTAGGGCTTGCCGATCGAAATGTGGGCGGTTCGAATCCCCATGGCGGGGTGCGCTCCCATTGCTCGGTCCCAGCGCCTGCCAACCTAGCAGTTCGAAAGCACCCCCGGGTGCAAGTAGATAAATAGGGACCGCTTACTGGCGGGAAGGTAAACGGCGTTTCCGTGTGCTGCGCTGGCTCGCCAGATGCAGCTTTGTCACGCTGGCCACGTGACCCGGAAGTGTCTCCGGACCGCGCTGGCACTCGGCGTCTTGAGTGAGATGGGCGCACAACCCTAGAGTCTGTCAAGACTGGCCCGTACGGGCAGGGGTACATTTACCTTTAAATATGTTTTACCTATTTTTCCTCTGTACATGTAGGTGAGCATGCATGTAAAACCCATTGACAACTGGATAGTTTTTGGTCAGATTGGGGCCTGACCAGAGCAATTGTTCTGTTTCTGTACTTTTCTGTGTCAAAACTGTTCTGTATTTCCCTGTATTACCTCTTTGTCCATGGACTTTACAAAAAGTGAGGCTGTTGAAAATTTTGCTTGCAGAGCACAGAGGATATCTAAATTGTTCGTTGTTAAAAAAAAAGAAAAACCTCCATCATTGTGCTTTAAGTTCAAAATTTCATTTAAGCTTTTCTTTTTAATCCTACGTTGCTCCCCAAATTCTTCAGAACTCTGCAGGCAGTGTTTTAGATAGCTTCACATTGTAAGACCTCTTAGAAACCTGTAAAGGAGGCTTGTAAAAACCTGCAAGAGGGAAAAAGCCGCCATGTGAAAGATGTCAGCAAGCTTTAAAATTTTTAGCCAAGAATGCACACCACTCTGGAGGATCGGGAGAACCCTCAGAGAGGTTGGCAATTGCTTCCTAGGGTTATAGACATACACTTTCCCAACTTTACTTGGATATGCCAAGGGAACTGAACCTGTGAGCTTTTGCATGCAAATCACGCACTTGAGCTAGAGCCCTTTCCTCCTGCTTTGAATAACATGCCTTTTATCAATCAAGGTGGGTGGGTTTTACCCACTAGCAATTAATTTCCAGGTGAGAGGAATTGGCTTTCTCCAGCACAGATCGCGAAGTCATTCTGTGCAGTTCATGTGCATTGCAGCACCCACACCCAGAAACAAATTGCTTACTTTAGTTATACTATTTTCATTGTAAGCTGGTAATGCAGCATAGGTTTTCCCTTGCAATGCTAATCTTCCTAGTGGGGGATTCTTAAAGTGTTTTTTTTTTAAGGCATTAACTTCAGTCCAGCTAAAGAAAGCCTTATGTATAAGCTAGAGGGATGTGAAAACTATCAGCCCTATTTGTGGGTAGAGAAGCTGCCAGAACAGTCATTATACACAGTACTGAGCTTGATAAACTAATGGTTTGACTCAGTATAAGGGAGTTCCCCCAGTCTGTTTCACCAGAGCTACATGCATGGAGCAGTTCTAGTGATGTTTGTATGCATAGTTAAATAAAGGCCAGTGTAGATATGTTCAGTTTCACAAAGTGCCAACAAATTGTAGCAGAGGTAGTAACAGGGTCTCCATCTGTCTTCCAGGTTAAGCGAGGCATGGATTGCTATAACCTGGAGGGTAGGTTTGGTCCAGATCTTGCCTATCTTTACTTCATACCACTCCAGACAAAGTGGTACGTGCTACTTCATCATATTCCAGAAATTTAACAAAATAGAAGTCAGACAATGGGGACTCGCAGACAAATTAAAATTTATTGAGACAGACAAAAATGCAACTACTTAGTACTACAATTCAGCATTTACAATTAACCAAGGAAATCAGCAACATGTTCACATTCCATTTAAATCTTCATGGGGGAAAAAGCATTCATAATTTACTATGCTACTCTAATTAACTATGATATTGTACATTCCATCTACAGTAGGGACATAAAACTTAAACACTTAATATCTGGATCTCTCCTTACAACGCTACACATTAAACAGTAACGGACATCAGCAGCATTGAGAAAAGTATAAAAAGACCAAATACCACCTACTGTAGAAAGGGCTCTTTGATGTGTATTAACAGTACAAAGCAGTCTGTGCAATAAAAGAAAACTGAATGGCAGAAAGAAGAGTCTGCAGTGAAAGCCATCAAATTTCTATGGAAAAAAAGAGAGTCAAATATTGGGAGTTCTGGTGGTCTGTTGCAAATAATGACCCTAGATTTAGTGGACACAATCCGGCCAAATTTAATGAGTTCCCATTGATTTTAGTGGGAGAAAATTAACCACATGCTTAACACTGCCATTAACTAACATCAGTGTGACTTAAACATCTTAACTTTGGCTGGCTGGTGTTCTATGTCATTTGCTACCTGGAGAAAATGGTATGAAATTTCTAATATTGAAGTATTGACTAGCAGATTGTGTTGCTTCTTATATGACTGTTGCATGTGAAGTACTGTTAGATATAAACTCATAGGCAACAATTGAACACAGAGGCGGTTTGATCCTACGTACGTTCACTTGGAAGTCCCACTAAATCAATGCAACATATTCTAGTGTGCATAGAATTGCCCTTTAGCTATATTTTAACTCCACTGAAATCAATGGGTTTATCTCACCTAATTCTGTGCTGGATTGCGGACACAATGTAGTTTTAAATCAGGTGTGAAAGAATGCAAAGCACAATGGAGGCTAGAAGTGAACAGATGTTACCTTTTGTGAAATCTGTAAAAAGAACACACCGAAGCGCAATACAAAAACCTAACAAGGCTTCAAAATATTATTATTTTGTAAAGTATCATGAAAAAAATAGGATGCATCCTTCAAAGCTTACTTCCTTGAAAGTCATTTAAATACAGGGAATGATTGGCTTGAAGACTGCAGAGTAGCCTTGGTTTTTTTTGGTGCTGGAGGTTTTTTTTCCATTGTCCATAACTTTTTGGAAGGTCAGTAATTTGAAGGAAATGAAGTATTTTAGCTTCCAATGGAATCAGAAATTTAAGTCAAGCTGTAGGCAAGTTAAAAGCTTTAGATTGTCATAAGGGAGAAATAGAATAGGTAATTCTGCTGTGGGATATAAGAGCCAGGGGCTCTACTGTATACTGCATTAAAGGCCTTATTTCTTTAACATTTTAATGATCTGGAGTATCACTTTTTTTCTTGAGGCATGCTGTGAAATGGGGTGGGGAGAAAGCAATAAGAACTCTGAAATATGAATATAATGATACTTGCATTAACCATGTTGACTTTTGTATTAATTATGAACAAATATGGTGGCCAAGAATTTGACAAAGATTCTGATAACCAGTGTTGTTGATATTTTGGTTTGCGGGTTTATAAAATAATTCCATTGGATTATCAATATTTGTTTTCAAATCAACCTTTTTATTGTATAGGCATTTCCAGAAAACCAACAGGCGTAATTATGGCGAGGGTTGTTTGTTTTCTTAAATAGCAAGATCAACCCTGCGATACCATGGCCCATGGGAGGCATCAGACCTTCTTCTCTGAGAGAGGGAGAACTGATGTTGGATGCACCCTCTCTGCCATTGCAGAAACTTCCATGGTACTTGCTCCACTGATGTTACTGATCTGTAGGGCTGAAAAGGGTGTGCGCTAGAGGTGAATTGGAGCTGTGCTGGGGGCAAATTAAGGGAAGTTACGATCTGAAGTATACATAGATTTCCCAGAAGCCTGACATGCCCCTGAATCATGGATAGTCACGAGACCTGTCCCTTTTCAGTGGGCTGTGAAGAATTGAAAATGATACAGCATGTATTCAAATAAGTACTCAAGTCATTTAATAATCCTTGAAAAGATACTGGACTGATTCCAACAGATGTTCACTTGCACAACAGGATTTCAACTTTTGCTCCTCCCACTCTATAGTCACCTGTTATTATTATTATTTATTAAATTTGTATTCTGCCCTGTACCTGTAGATCTCAGGGCGGTTCACAGCATAAAATCATACACACCTCCCATCTCCTTTTGGAGCAGATTTTGGGGGAACATGGGTGTGGGAAGAGAGGAAGGGAAGTCTTGCTGTCTGAACAGAGGCCTGCTCCCACAACATTGGATTACACCGTTGTGATTAATGTATGCGACTGGATGTTTTGTTGAACTAACAAAGTAAGTTTATTGCATAGTGGTTGACTGAAAAACAACAACACTATTTTGAGTTGTAGTTTGTGAAAATAGTCAAAACGATCACCCTAACATAAAGAATGAAGATGCTGTTCCAAATGATGTTTCTGATATGTAGAAATATGCAACCATTTCCTTGACATTGATTTTAGGATTCTTTTTCAATAAGCACTTGAGCTTTTTCACTTACGTTGTGCAAAGCTCTCAGCCTAACTTATCAGATGAAGGTAAATATCATGCAATAGTATATAGCATGAGCTGACTATGGCCACATTCTGTAATCAAATGCACATACTGAATGGCCACTGATTTAGATGAAGTAAATCTCTGCTCTGATCCATAATGTATTAGATTATGTTACATTTGGTTTCTTATGACCCTTCTCACTGGTGGAAAAGTAAACCCTTTGAATTCACATTTTATATTACTAATATTGAGAAGTGGAAATGCATACATCACCAGAAGTAGTAAGGATGAACCATGGCATGTATTCCACAGTTCAAGCACCAGTTGGTAGTGATATGGCATGCCTAATTCATGTTCCCAAATAATGTTAAGGTGAGAGCCACGTCTGCACTTGAGCTTTTAACATTTTATTTTTGGTTCAGCAGGGCAAGCTACTGAACTGGGGAAGGATTAAGGAGGCTGGGGTTGCCAAACTGAAAGTGAGCACCCCCCCATGTTAACCACCTTTTCTACTTTCCTTTATACTAGATTCTTGCATTACTTTAACAGTGTCTAATACAAATGTATATTGAAAAGCAATATTCCCCCAGCCTCTGAGCGCAAATAGATATGCTGTGCCTTGTTTTCTGTTCAGATAAACGTCAAGAACATCTTGAAGTAACATTAAGGTTATTCATGTTTGGATAGGAGAGCATAGCCCTTCATAAATGTGCATAGCTATTTAATTTTGTTGTGAGGGAACTGGTGAATCTGATGAGCTTGGGAAATATATATGCTGGGTGGAATTCCCATCATTCCCAACCATTGGTCATGCTGGCAGGGACTGATGGGAGATGTAGTCCAGCAACAGCTGGGGAGGGGTGGAGCCTACATTGGCAACTTCTGTGCTTCACAGTGTCTTGCAAATTTGGCATTGGATTTTCGGTGTGCTTTTTACTTTCTCTTGCACCATCATTATGTATACATGCAATGACATCCAAAAAGGTGGAAGCTGGATTCTATGCATGGGTCACCTTTGCTGGCTGCAATATATACTCAGACTAGAATTAAAAGGATAAAGTCAGTTGATACAAAAATTCCTGCAGTCTTTGCAGTTTAGTATGTGGAGCTGCCACTAAGATTAGTAGATAATTGTATGTAGCTTACTGATCTTTAAAAAAATGATTTAAATGAAATAGAGATGGAAAGCTGCACTTTCCGAGACAAATCCACAATAAGGCTGGGTCCAAACTGTTGTTGATTGAGCCTACTGCTGATGCATACCACTGTATCAAAATTATATATACTATTGTATAAATTGCATGTTCTTGTTATATGCCATAGCAGAAATTAACCATTATATTTTATCTGGTAGAGGTTAAAGCCATTAGAAGTTATAAACAAAGTAATTTTCACAGAGGTGAGGACAGGAGGCCTATTAATGTCTTGGTCAGCCAATATTGTAGGTACATTTATTATTTCTGCCCCAGAAAATGTAATGAGAAATGAATTACAGCATTTATCCTGTGTCTTGATAGAGAACTCAAGAGAACCTGTCGTGGCTTTGGATTGTGTTAGTTCTGCACTGTTGCAGAATGGAACAAAAAGGCTTCTGAGACTTGCTTGGTCAAATTTCATGTAGCTTCGCCATCTTTTCCTGAATCTTACATGGGCAATGGGGGAGACAAATGGTTCAACAGGAGGTGAAACGGAGTCATCATGAAATAGATGACACTGCAACTTTTCATTGCCTCTGAAGGCACCACTTCATTCTGCTTCTCTGGCATTGCTCTAATATTTTGCTAAGGGCTTTACTACAAAGGATTCGTTTTTCCTTCAAATGCTATTGAGAATCTGACAAAATTGTAGGCGTGTCTCCAATTGCTGCTGCTTCAGGTTTTCCACCTTTAGTTACAATAATAAATGGTATTTTTGTACCTCACCCTTTTCTGATTTTAATATTTTTCTCTCCAGACAAACAGGAAATCAAATAGCAAGAATTTTAGAGAATGATTATAGTCTGCAGACAAAACTGAGTTTAATTTGTCTTTAAGAGCTTATTTTTAAATGTACTAACTCTCAGGGAAATTATTGAATCTAAGGACATTGCCTGTTTTCACTTTCGTTAATGAATTCTATACTGATATGTATGAAGTAATCTATATTATCATGGGTTTGCTTGGGAGTGGGGAATTGCTGGGAAATAATTTGAAATGGTTCTTAAAAGAAAAAACAACCAAAAACTTTGTTTTGGTTAATTTTTATACATACAAACCCCATATAAACAAAAGTCATAGTGTTTAAGACAGTGAGCCCAGCAATTAAGCATTGCTGCTAAAGAAGCAACATCAGAGGAGGCAGGGATTATGGGTTTTTTTGTGTGTTTATGTGTAATGAGATTAATTACAAGATTAACCACAACTGACTTTAAGATTTAATCTGCAGGGTTGTTGTTTTTTACTCACATAAATAAAATGTCCCTGCTCCAGAAATTAAATGGCTCCGGTATCCTGTTGAAATCAGTAGAATAGGTTAGGTACAGTATGGCTAATTTAAGTCTTTTTATTGATTTCAATAGGACTTGGCTATGATTTGGAGCTGAAGAAGGCAGATCAGTTGGGAAAGACCCATGTGAGTGGCCTCACCCATGTGGTTTCAATCTTCACACACACCCCAGCAATGATGGACTTCTTCAGAAAGCAGCTGCATTCACACTGCTCTGCGTGCGTAGCAAGAACAAAGGCTAAATGGAAACTTTACTGTAAGTATATAAAAGATAATAGCACTTCTCTCTGCAACCACAGTGAATTTGACTTCTGCAGGTTTTATTAATTTAAGTAGGTAAGCAGTATGGTGAAAATGATAGCTATGTTGCAGCTTCTAATTGGATGGTATTACAGTAGGTGACTTTTATTGTATACTAGTCCAGCCAGTGTTCAAATACAGCTTAAGAGTGCACCCCAGAAAACCCATATTCTTAAAACATTTAGTGGTTAACATCACTTTCATTTGGAAGAAAGCCCCATTAATCTCATGCAATTTACTTTCAAGTGTGAGCTCTGGATAACAATGCCATTAGCTGATACTCTGAGGTGCTTTGTGAACATGGTAACTCACAGGAGTGGAGTAGTCGTATACCGGCAGCTGCTCCCTACCCCTTAATGTGTTGTAGCTGGCCTATTCAGGATAGCTACATGGCTTTACTTGGAGATGGGCAAAGCTGAGGAAGAGCAGGGCATCCACAGCCCCCTTCCATGACAGCCTATGTCCTTTTACAATAGCAAGGAATGGACAGTGCATTCCTCGATGAGGATTGGGATAGAGGTCAACTGGCAATTAGGGCAGAGCCCAATGGCTTCATTCACCAGGCATTGGATCCTACTTTAAGCACAACAGCACAGGACACAATTTGCATCACTATGGCTAAAGAAGACCGAAAGGCCAAAGCAATTGTGTGGATTTTCTTCAGTGGAACTGCAGAGTTTTTAAGTGTGTATGATGTACATTTCTGGATTGTAGCAGTGGCATCTTTAAAAGTCAAAGGACAACCAACTTACTTAATTACTGGAATCCATTGAGCTCAGGGTTTCAGGCTAAGGCTGTATATCTGGGAGGTAACTTCTCAGCTGGATATTATCATAATTTCACAAAGCCAGTAAATTTAGGATGCACTTGTTGGGAATATTAAAACAAACTGAAATGTAATATTAACATCATGACATTTGGCATTACTATTTGAAGGGTTCATTAACAAACCAGACCTTGTGTTAAAATGAATTGTTAAAAAACAGCAACCCCCAGACTTCATCACACCAGAAGCAAAAGGCATAAACAAACGAGAGTATCACACATAGCAAACAATAGTCTGAGGATAGATGCCATTGTGCAGCCGCCTGAAAACTGTATAGAAATTCACACTAAAAAATTAGCACTTTCTCACAGAAATATAAGCTTTCTTTAAAGTGTACAGGCCATGTTCAGTTCTGGTATAACAGCACTATAATTGCCCTGATCAACAAAAGTGGTATGGTCCTTAGTGTTTGCAGAATTTAAGACCTATCTGGCATTTATTTCCTTCCATTTAATGAGAAAAAGATGGGGCTTGTTACAAATCCATCTTTTCCCTCCCAACCAATCATAGATGCTCATCATGTTTTGTCCTTGCGTGGACAGCTAACATAATAAAAGGTCTGCAATGGCAAATTCATTTCCCCACACTGAATGGCAATGGGGAACAATGAGATGCTGCTATGGAGATATAACTATGTGGAATATTTTAATCACATTCTCTTCTGGTTCATATGTGTAAGTATTACATGTCATATTAACCAGAAGTGATATTAACCAGAAACGCAACTGCCTAAAGATGTTTTCTTTTTTAAAACAGAGCAAATAAATATCAACAATTTAAAATAAAGGGAAGACAGCTTATTACTGCTGACAGCTTCAGCACTTCCAAATGAGGATTCATTTAGAGTAAATGAAGAAAAAGCGTTTTCAGCAAAACCAGTGGTATGCTATCCAGGAAGCAGAGGCAGCTTGCATAGCATTAGTGCAAACTTGATCAAAGCAAAATCCAAGACTTGCAAGCCTGCAAAAACGATTGTAAAGAAATGCATTTGCAAAGCATTCCTTTTTCACATGTTTTGAAAGGCCATTCCAGGCTTGTTTCCTTTGCTAAAAGTTGTGTGCATATACTATGATGCTTAACTTAAAGTGAACTAATTTTGATTAAACAGTCATCTGAGATCTTATCCTGCACTCCTGGTGCGGGGGAGAACTTTCATTGAGTTCTGCTAAAATAAGACAGTGGTTCTGCCAACCATGTTAAAGAAAAATCAGGAGGAACTAAAATGGAATTATTTCTGACTTAAAGCCAGTGGTTGACCAAATCAGAATGTTAAGGCGATTTTGATATTTTCAAACAAGTTCCAGATGGCGAGACAGAAAACCCCCAACCCTACCTGCTTTTAACATTAAAGTAGCAAAACCACAGTAGTAACAACAAATGGCACAATTAAAAAAGATCAAGTAATTGAAAACTTTAGTTCTGGTAACATCAGAAGAGCCCAGTGCTTGGATGTGCTGACCCTCTTGCTATGTTCCATATTCCATTTTTATAAAAGACGCATGTGAGCAGATTAAGCTATGAAAGTCACCATGTCAGTAAAATAGAACAATGCTTACAATTATGCCAAAAAATAGCTAGTCAGGTGGGAAAGCTGTCTTCCAAATTAAACACAGTGTACTAAATTAAATTGAGTGGAGAGATAATTGCTTCCATCCAGCAGTTTGCTGGCCACAAGAGCTCCAATGCACATGAGTGTGCCAAGTCCCACATGTGCAAGGAGCTCCCAGATGTGAAAGGTCTTCCCAGTTCACTTCAATGTCAGGTTCAGCTCTGCATGCTCATCTCCATTGTGCTTGTGGAGTTACGCCCAGCAGTAAAGTGAAAGGGAAGCTCAATTGTAAGGGATACCTGTGTGCATATTGGAATGCCCAAACGGGTTTAAATTGAGCTCCATATGCAATGCCTGATGTTTCAGTTACCATTGCAGAGATACGAAATGACTTGTGATATTGTGCAAAACATGAGTCCTCAGAGTTATGGGAACTACCATATATAGCCAATTTCATCCTCCTTGTCGTCATCTTCATCTTCATCATCATCATTAGCTGCTCTTACATGGATCTTCTGTTTCCCTTCTTGGTCCTTTTTTGCTGCTTCATGTTCCTCTTCCAGATCATCCAATAATATCACTGATCCACCACTACCGAAATCCCCCGAGGTTTCTTGCTCCTCTTCTGAAACCGGGAAGAATTCACAGTTATACTTTAAGCCTAAATTTCTATCAAAACATGTCAATGTTCTCATTATTTAAACTATTTAATTCATCCCTCCCCCCCTAACATGTCTGCCTTTTTAAAATAAAATAAATAAACAGTAAAGCATTTTTACACAGTAAAGTGCTCAGAGTAATATACAGTCTTCTACTACACCCACAAAACCACACGTTTTCAGGAGGAAGCAATAGCTGAAGACAGAACCTTACATCTCTAAATTGTTGGTTCAAATCCATTCCAGGTCAATGGTGACTGAAAGACACCACCATCTGATGAGTGTTCGAAGAGATCTGAAATGAGTTGGTGGTCTCAGTAAATTGCGTACCTCATAAAAACCTCACCACAAACATCACCAAGTGATATCTTTGTTTCTGTCCTGATATTGTCCAGAAAAAGTTGGAATGTAAATTGGCCTAGAAAATCTCATAGTGCCCGGTGTGGCCCTGCCAGCTGAGACAAATAAGGGGTTACATTTGGAAAGGTCCATTTCTATTGCCTCAAAATAACCGGGCTGATTTGCTTGTCACTTTACTTGTTCATTTAACTCGGTGTTTTGATTTTTTTTTTGTTTACCTTTATTGGTATAAGTTTAAACAATAAAAATCATACAAAGTCATCCAAATGCATTAATAATCCAGACACATACAATATATAAAAGGCTTGGTGTTGCTAATAGGTGACAATAAATGTTCTTTCTGGGCAGCCAAAGGCGATTAGGTGGCAAATTTTCATGTGCAATGTTGTCTTAAGTTGTAATAAGGCTATTGAAACTGACACCTTGCTATTTTGATGTCATTACATACTCCTGTGAGTCTACTACTGTTTTTTTTTCAAATTTGGCATTCAAACAATGGGTTCCTTGGTGCTCCCACCACTGCCGATTTCCTCCCGCATTGTGAACCTGTAGAGGTGTGCTGAATGTGCTATGGGGCTCATGAGCAACTACAGTGGTGCCTCGCAAGACGAAATTAATTCGTTCCACAAGTTTTTTCTTCTTGCGAGTTTTTCTTCTTGCGAAGCACGGTTTCCCATAGGAATGCATTGAAAATCAATCAATGCGTTCCTATGGAAACCGCCTTCAGGCCAGGTCCGGGGACAGTCTGTCCCCTGACCTCTTCTGAAGGCTGGGGGGGGGGGACAAGGGCTTTTCTTCCCACCCCCAGCATTTTAAAAAACCCCGGGACAGCAGAGGACTTCTCCGCTGTCCCGGGGCGATCTTAAAATGCTGGCGGGCGGCAGCGAAGCCTCCGCTGCCGCCCGCCAGCATTTTAAGATCGCCCCACTGTCCCGGGTTTTTTTAAAATGCTGGCGGGCGGCAGCGGAGGCTTCGCTGCCGTCCGGGATAGTGGAGAAACGAAGGCTGGCGGCGGGAGGAGGTCTCTCCGCCCCGCCGCCAGCCTTCGGAGGAGGTCCAAGGACAGTGGGGAAGACGCGCTGCGCTTCCCCGCTGTCCCGGAGATTTCCCTGGAACCTATTCAGGTCTGGTTCTGTGCTGTGCCCCTTTGAAATGTGCTCTGCCTCTGTAATGAGCCCCATAATTCTTTGAAGTACAAAGGAGTCTCATGGCAGTTACACATATATCCCTTCTCTTGTAGACAATTGGATGTGTAAAGGGTTCTCAAAAGGAAGTTAGAATGCTACTACCTTTCTTTTCTCTAGCATTTTGGGAAGGAAGAGCATACCACTAGAATTGTTTTCAGTGCTTGAATTCTGAAGATGAAATGTCACGCCTGGAACTTTTATTTATAGGAACTTCAGGGCTTCAAATTAAGACTATGGCTATCAAAATTAGGGTTATCAAAACTGGATGAATCTGCCCATTTCCGCTCCACATCAATTCCACGTTTCCATTAACTCTATTTTATCCTGCTTCTGCATTTGTCTGTAGGGTTGTTGTTGTTGTTTTTAAATTGTACAAAAATCCATATCCATATTTAAATATGCATTTTATCTCAATGTACACATTTCTAAAGAAACTTACCTAAAAATATGCATTATAAAAATCCATTTGGGTTGTTTTGAGCTGAACGGCATTGCAAAATTCAGAGAACTGCAAAATCTGAAGTCTTATTACATTATGACCTGTCTATTAGTTCTCCTGGAGGTACAAATTCGGTCAGTTCACTTAGAAATGCAGACCAAATGTAATTCTCCTCCATCCCTACATGTTTGTAGCACTTGGCTTTTAAAAGTTCCAAAAAGACATTTTTCTTATGCCGAGATGTTTCATTATAAACTCATTTTCTCCACTAGAAGAGCTGTAGCGATTGCCACATACGGCACACATTTATATTATGTGTACATGTGCTCCTTGTGGGGTAATTTCAGCAGCAATTGTTTGTTCAGATTAAACCTCCATGGGGTTAAGTCTTTCTTTCAAAAGGCAGCCCTGATGAACAGGACTCCTTAATTTTGTGCTTTCTGTTCCAGGGAGCAACATGTGGATTTTTAAATTTTGGATTTTTAAATGATCAGCCTGCAATAACTTCCTAACCAGTGTATTATTTTTTTTTGCAGTACAAACTACTGCAGTTTGTAAGCTGGTGAAAAGAAAACATCAAATGCTTTTGCCAATTTCGTATTGTCACACTTACTCAGGAAGAGAGCTTACTTGTATGAGCACATTTGTATTATAAACATGAAGGCCTGAAGATTCTTGTCATGATGGCTAATAGGTTTCTCTTTTTGCCATTCTGTAGACTCACAGTCAGGCTTGCAGCAGCAGGCAAGGGCTCTCACAACACTCATTCTTATTTTATCTGAGAAAAGCATGCCATTACTCACCACAGCTAACAGTCCCTTGCTTCCTTGAGCCAGCTATCTCATTTCCATACTTATCAACACACCAACATTGCCCAGTACTTCCATGACACTGAGTTGCTTTGTAATATCCTTCCTCATTGCACCGTGGAATGAAAGTTCCTAGGGATAGCAAATGGTGCCCTTGTCAATAATACAAATACTTGTAGAGCTAAGCAGGAAGATAAACTTGCATTTGTCTGGCCCTGACGTTCAAGGAGGGCTTTCTTTGACTGTTTGCACAGCAGGTTGAAATGGTCAGGCATACTGTTTCTCTCTCTCCCTCCCCCGCCCACCACCATCAGTTCTTTTGTCAGCAAGGTTCTTCCACACAAATAGCATTTAGAAGAGATTGTGAGGGTGCAAAAGGGCTGCAATTCAAATTGTTATCTTGAAATAAAGAAAAACAACAACCAAGGTGCCTTCATTTTATAGAAGTGCAGTGACAACAACTGGTTCTGTTTATCATTGTGGCTCTCTGTTCCTCTCTCACGAAAGCTGATATTTCTGCCATCAGCTTCAACGGATTCAGTGCAAATGTACTTGCATAAATTTAAAACAAACCACGTCTACTTGAAGATCAGTTAGAAGAATATTGAGCACGGGTTTTATATAGCAGTTTCCATCATCTACTGTTTGCTTCTGTTACAGGCACAGAAGAGCAGACTTTTACTGGGTCTGGCTATATCTGAGAAAATACCTAGCACCTTTGTTGGAGAGATACTACCGGTACTTGATTTACTACTCAAAATAAATAAAAGGCTTCCTTCACCAGTACTGTAGATCAATGCATCTCTGCAATGTGCACACATAACGTCAAAAGGGCTATTTTACTCCATTTCACATGGATGAGGAATATCTGAGGCGTTATGTACACTGGCATTAGCAGCCATTGGCCCACCTTTCTGAGGAGTTGGCTGTGGTGATTTAAAGGGACCTTGTCTGATTTTGCAGGTGCTGACCTGTACAGTGGAAGGAATAGGTTAAGGAATGGAAGCTACATCCTCAGGTCAGGATGGCCCAAGGGAAGGGGATGAGTATCTCAGCAAAAATTATTTCCTCCTCATTGTTATCTTCCTCATGGTAGTGTGAGGGGCCCAGGTGCAGGAGTCACAACAGCTATAACTGCAGTTCATTTAGGTATCACATCATGCATACATTAATTACTCGTCTACCAATTTGTTGCAAATGACCATTAAGAAAGTTTGCCCCTGGGCTATATGGATGAATAAATTTGATCTCATGAATAATGGGAATGCCCCATGGGCTTAATGTAGCTTCCTAGTAACAGCAATGGAATACCTTTCTACACTATTTTCATTGTTAAGTTCTGTTTTGTGGGAGGAATACTTTCATATAAGGAAGCAGGAACATATACATGGCACCAACTCAGTCCTTAAAGGAGTCCATTGAACTATGTAGTACAAGGGTAAACGGGTTGTTCTTAGGAGCACAATGGAATAAAAGCAAAACCTACCTTCTCTCCACAGATCAGGGTTATTACTACCTCCAAATGTGTCCTGGGGGAGGGGAGTACTTGAAAATAATATTCTTGAAGGGAGGGGGAACTTGCCCTGCCACGCTGTGTTTCCTTCACCTTCAATAAGAATCCCCAGGCAAAGTATATTTGTGCAGATACTTCAAGGCATTAAAAAGTACAAATGCTGCCTCTCCGCACATATCCTGTGTGTCATAATGATTTTCCTTTCCTTTTCTACTTGCATGGTTTTCAATTTATGTATGCATTTCAGTATTGCTGCTTTAGAATGATGTTTGTATTAATTTCACTGTGCATTATTGGAAGTATTATTTGATTTCAATTATGAATTATTTAATGTGGAAGAGAAATGTGCTGAAATTCACAGATTTAAGCCCATAGTGTCCAAAGCTGTTAGTATTATACACCTACAGTTTAACAGATGGATTCTTCAACTTCCCAATGGCATTATGTGCTCAACATACCAAAATTACCTTAATATGTGTATCATTACAGCACATTTAAAAGTGCAATTTATACTTTAGGGGAGGGGAAGATCCAATAAGCCTATTTCTTACTTTGGATTTGTCAAACAATAAAGAAATAAATCTATGTGCTGTGTCAATTTAATGGCACTGATTTGAGATTTCAGTAGACAGACAGTCTCTGTTCTGCATAATGTTACCTAGTATGCCAAGTCATGGAACACATTTAGCACAGGCTGATGTTCTGTTATTTATATGAGTTCCTGAAGTGGCACAAGCACACAGTTGGGACCCTATTACAGCATGTAACGTCACAGTAATAACAGAAGCTTTAATTAGCAGCTTAAATGAGTGAGTGGCAAGTAACTGAACTTACCCATCAGGCTCTTCCCCTTGCCCAGCTTTTGAATTCTGTTCATCTCATTCTGGCAAGGGAGACCTAAAACAAAATACATGAGAGTAGTTTCCAGATGGTAAGGGACAGATTCTCTAATGATTAGCTTTGCAATTGACAGGCAGTGGTAGTCTATTGCACACCTGGGAATGAATGAACCACATATGCTTGTACTGTACTGCAGAACAAATGTATGCCATTAGCTTTACTAATTAAAAAATTCACAACATGCTTTGCTTAAAAAGTGTGTTTGGGGGCCATTTTGGTTATTAAGACAGTTTTCCTTTCCTTCACCAGCGTGATCCAAAGCTAGGATGCTAATTTACTGCTTGCTAAAAGACTAATTTTCACATTATAAGCAATGACATAAGCAATAAGCTAATACCAATAGAACAAATTTTGAGATTGAAAACCATGATCATAGTCTAGATTTCCTAGGGCACACTCTGCTCCTTAGCCAATGGAACAAGGAGGCCACCATGTGAAAGGAACCTCACAGGCATTTTTTAGCCACCAAGTAGGAGGCCATGAACCTAATCGAGACTCTTTGGCCTATATATGGAAAAGAGGACACAGAGACTTTGGCGTGTTTAAATGGATGCCACGTACATGACGCCACCAACTTCTACTCCACACCCGCAAGGGATAGAAGAGCAGGAAGACCGAGACCTTGCCACACTGTGTGTAAAATGTATACCGGATATAACAATGGAAGATCTCTATTCCTCTCAACAGGTCCAAAGATGGATATGGAGGAGGCATGAGAGTGCCCAAAAGAGTGCATTTAAAAATACAAGAAGTTTACAGCCTTCACATAAAATCATGTACTTGATAATTTTAATGGGAGTTAAGCCCACTTAATTGAATAGCTTCTGTTATGCACAATCATGGTCTGCTCTTGTAAGTAATAGAGGAGGAAGGAAGCTTGGGTCTAAGGAAGATGTTTAAAGGAAGCAACAACAAAAATTGTGGACAAAGAATAATAAAATGGGAAAGATAAGAATGATAAGGAGAGAATTACATGGAAAAGGCAAACTAAAGGATGCCTGGATTAGAAAGAAATTTATTCTAAAAGGAAAACTAAAATGTTGGGAAAGAAAAGAATGAACAAATTATAAGAGAGGAACAGAAAAAGAGAAGCAAGAAAAAATAGGAACCTAAGAGGAAAGTAAACGTCGAAGAACTTGTCTTTCTAGGCAATGAGGACTGTCTGGCTGATATTGCTAAAAGTAACAAAACAATACTACCAGTCATTCTCCTCTTGTTCTCATTATCTCATAAAAAATGGAATTAAACACAGACTGCACAAAGAAAAGAGAAAAACGCATCCGTACACAAAGTTATGTTTGGGGAGGGAAGAAATGGGAAGGGCAATCCTTATGCAGAAACCATAGCAAAGTACATAATAGTAAATTAATCATAGAATAATGACTAACCCTCCAGTCATCCACTTGGGGAAGAGCCATTTCCAAGTCACAGGTGGCAAAAGCCCACCTGCTTCTGGGCCCACTGCTGATGGGATACAGCTGGCCTAGAAGGCAGTGGCAGAGCTTCATGCTCCTGCACCGGGGGGGGGCAGAGAGCAGGCTGGGGCGGGGCTGGCGTGCATCCTGGGGGCATGGTGCGCAGCCTGTGGGGGTGTGGTGCCCAGCGTGGGTGGAGAGGGCAGCCATGAGGGCACCCCACCCGGATCACACTGCCAGGAGTAGTGTGCTCCCCCCGCACTCCTCTTCCTCCGCTAGTGCTAGAAGGGTTTAAAGAAGATAAGGGGATGGCAACAACTGGATCTACTGCTAACCCACCTCCAATTTATCTTGAAAGGGCTGAGAGCACTGTAAGCCATGGTAATGAAAGTATTTTGGATCCATGGGAACTAACTGGTCTGGAGAAGCATGGACTAAGGAAGTGGCAGTGGCCAAGTTTTGTAAATATGGGAGAAGAAACTTGCTTCCTGCTGTGTTCAGTAACCAGGTTCAACGTTTTAGGTGTCAGTGTCTATTTGATGCTAGGATTTTCACACCCAGGATTTTCTAGCCATCTAATGCTACTCAGGGGGACGCGGGTGGCGCTGTGGGTAAAAGCCTCAGCGCCTAGGGCTTGCCGATCGAAAGGTCGGCGGTTCGAATCCCCGCGGCGGGGTGCGCTCCCGTCGTTCGGTCCCAGCGCCTGCCAACCTAGCAGTTCGAAAGCACCCCCGGGTGCAAGTAGATAAATAGGGACCGCTTACAAGCGGGAAGGTAAACGGCGTTTCCGTGTGCGGCTCTGGCTCGCCAGAGCAGCGATGTCATGCTGGCCACGTGACCCGGAAGTGTCTCCGGACAGCGCTGGCCCACGGCCTATAGAGTGAGATGGGCGAGCAACCCTAGAGTCTGGCAAGACTAGCCCGTACGGGCAGGGGTACCTTTACCTTAATGCTACTCAACTGAATTCCACTCAATACGTAACAAGTAAGTGGAGTGGGTAAGTGGAGTGGTAATAATATCAGTGTTGTTTACCGTATGAAAATCAAGCATGTCTCCTCATTTAATCAATTTAAAACTATGCCAACTTTATTAGGAGTGAGGTATGTTGATGTGCCTTATACAAATCCTAATAATGCATTTGCCTTTTAATATTACATGGGAGCTAGTTTTCCTGTATAAATATTTTAGTATCAACATGCAATCACAGAGTCAATTTTCTAGTACAAAATTTAGTAACTTACCTCCAGGCTTCTGAAAGCAGTAGCACCATTCATTGTTTGAAAGCTTTCCATCTTTGAAGGAGTCACAGGAGTTGAAGAGCGGTTTAATGCATGGCTCATATTTATCAAGATAAATGGCATTGATCTCTGAGTGATCGAGGAGAAGGTCATAGTTCATATCCAGTTTGTTGAACATCCAGCCCAACGAATCCTTGCAGATTGGTAATATGCTAGTGTCAAATCCTGTAAAGGCAGGAGCAAACAAGCTAGACTGAGCTAAAACATACAGATTTCTCTTGGAAACAAGAAGCCCTGCTAATTGACTCTGTTTTCAGTCTTGCAGATAACTGGGGCAAAATTGATTTCAGATTAACCTTTCCTTCTTGACTTGTAAGAAAATGGAACATGATGATCCCAATTCAGAACGGTGTGAATGAAATGGATGGGCTAAAAGACAGCAGGGTAAACCTTAGAGATGGATAATACTCTGAGTCATAGCCATTCATTATTGTTTCACAAATGTGAATGAAAAGGCAAGGTAAGTGGTTCACAGTTCATTGAAGCCTGTTTTCGTTCAGAATTCAATTTTGCCCTCTCTGTGCATTTGCACATTTATTTATTATCCTGCACATATTATCCTGCTTTTCAGCCAAAACCTAGTCCCAAAGCTACTCACAGCAATTCTATTAATGTACAATGCAAAGTGCTGCACATGTGCGGGGCAGGGGGAATATATAACAAGGTCTGGGAGCACCCTCCCCTCTTAAAGAGAAGCAGCACTGTAATGACTTGGGAGTAGACATTTGCTTCATTCTCAAATTTCCTAGAATCAGAGAACAGAAAACATCATGAAAGATACCCATTTTTCTCCACTAAATTTCTTAATAGTCTCCTCTCACATTCCTTAAAATGATAAAATTCTTTCTGTAAATGTTTCTTCTCTGCAATACACTCTTCTGAATGCTGCATTCTGCATGTTAACAACTAGCTCTCCAATTTGATGGCAGCGATTACCAGGCCAGCATGTATTTTATGGCAAAGCTTTTTTTTTTTTTAATTGCTTGCATTTTCTGATTCAGGAAAACAGTTACAGGACTTTCTGCTTCTCCAAGAACCCTGGCATCTCTGCTTGTAATCCTGGAAACCCACCTCCAACTCATAGTGTGAAGCAACTTTTTCATTTGGATGCCCCACTCACACCTCATCTCGCTATAGCTTCTCCCAGAGTTAAGCAAGACACATAATTTGTCAAAGATTTGTTTGCAATGCTCAGAAAGTCGTTTGTATACCCAGTGTCTTCTATCTATTTCCCCTTCTGAGATGTATTTTTAGCACCTAGCTCTGGTTTGATGGTGGCAAATCGTACATTGGTTACCACATATTACAACCAATCCATTGAAGAACATGTCTTCTCTTTTTGAACAGCTGTCATTTCCTTAGGGTGCATAAAAGGAAGATTTCCCCATTATATGAGCTTCTTCATAACTGCGGGGAGTGGGGTGGGTGGGAGGGTGGCATGGAGACTTCTTAGACTGAACTGTCATGAAAGCCTAGAATAGAACTGAAGTCTATCTGCTATTTTAAGTGGAGGATCAGAAAGGCACCACACTGGAATAAGGCTCTTTAGGTGTAACTCTGATGGAGGGTTCTCTGTGACACTGAAGAATCATCAGAGGTGTTCAGGTAATATAAACATTAATGCTATTTTATTACACGCTACTTCAAAAAGATAAACCGATTTCCCTCCAAGCTAAAGACAACCGAGACTGGGGCCTGAGAGCAAGTGTCTGAGTTTTCCAGTACCTTGCTTTGTAGAGATTGGCTAGGGGCTTTTCTTTCACATATTTTAGATCATTGCCATAATTACTATTGTTATTCATTATTCATTTCCTTGGTTGACTCTGTACTTATGATCCTGGTGATCACAAATTATTATGATGTATGATACTTTAATTTCGGAAGAAACTGAGAAGTGTTGAATGGAGGCTAAGTGATCACGGTCTCCTCTTACAGTAGCACAGGGTACAATTGATACATGAGGAATGAGGCTTCATAGAATCATATGAATTGTAGAGTTGGAAGGGATCCTGAGGGTAATCAAGTCCAACTCCCTGCAATGCAGGAATCTCATCCATGACAGATGGCCATCCAAGCTCTGCTTAAAAACCTCCAAGGGGGTTGGTTGCACTGTTGAACAGCTCTTACCACCAGAAAGTTCTTCCAGATGTTTAGTCAGAATCTCTTTTCTTGTAACTTGAAGCCATTGGTTGGGGTCTTACCCTCCGAAGAAAGAGAAAACAAGCTTCTCTATCTTCTAGGTGACAGCCTTTAGATATTTGAAGAATCTCTTTAAAAAAAACCCTGTCTGCCCCTGTATAGACCTAACAAAAAAAAAATCCTTCCAGTAGCACCTTAAAGACCAACTAAGTTAGTTCTTGGTATGAGCTTTCGTGTGCATGCACTCTTCTTCAGATACATGCATGCACACGAAAGCTCATACCAAGAACTAACTTAGTTGGTCTTTAAGGTGCTACTGGAAGGAATTTTTTTTGTTTTGACTATGGCAGACCAACACGGCTACCTATCTGTACCTGTATAGACCTGTAAGATCATTTAGATTGTCATGGGAATTTTTACTTGTGGTACTGCAGCCTACAGAATATCACAGGGTAGTGACCTGAAAAAGGGCATTTTCTACCATTGTTCCTGCACAGGGATGCTCTTTCCTGTTTTTACACCTTTTTATAATAACATTTTACTGGTTTCCAGTTTCTGTGATACAGTTTCATTGTTTTTATGTTGTATTTTTATTTATCACTTGGAGCTGTTTAGATATTAAGCATTTTAGAAATGCCTTTAATTCAGATAATGTACAGATAATAGAAAGCAGAAGAGAGCTCCGAGTGCATCCCTCAGCAGCAGGGTGACCCTGGTTTTTCATCTGAAATGATCAGCATGCGTGACAACCAAATCAAAATGCTAGTTTAAATGGGAGGACCTTTATGCTGAAGAAAAGTGGGTACATTCATATAAACGTGGTGAAGGTGGTTCTAGGTAAACTCTACAGCTTTATACCTATTACGTCTGGCGTTTCCCATTACAGTGGCAGAAGCTTTGCTACTAAATTTTTCTCTCAAGACTTCTACTAGAAAATAATAATGTGCTACTTTAATATGCAGGCATTTAAAGAAGTCTTATGAAAAGTTTAGCTAGCTAGTTATTGCTGTTTAAAAGGTTAAAGCAAGGAAGTGAGGGATCAAAGCCTTTCAAGTATATTATGGTGCTGAGATGTGGCAGCAAGTGTTTATTTCCACTTTAAACTGCCTTTGAATAAAAGTTGCTTTGATTGAATCACTACTTGACATGCCCGTGTCAACAATCAAGTCCAAGATTGCCAAGTCTTATGTACACTTTCTTGTCTCTTTCTAGACAAGTAAACCTTTAAGGGAAAAAATGAGGCATACATTTATTCAAAGCAGTGACTTTCAAGAAACTACAGAAAAATCATCACATCAATCTATTACCTTTTCTTAGACATCTGATACGTCACTCTCAGCCTAATCTACCTCACAGGTTTGATAAAATGGGGAGGAGAACTGCGTATGCCACCTTGCGCTCTTTTGAGGAACAGTGGGATACAAATGTAATGAAATAAAAATAAAAATCATAGAATTGTAGAGTTGGAAGGGTCATCTAGTCCAACCTCCTGCAATGCAGGAATCTCAGCTAAAGCATCCACGGCAGATGACCATTCAACCTATGCTTAAACGGATATGTGTAACTCCAAGGTGTGAATAATATATATAATAGGAATTCTATTGTCCTTGACATTGGAATAATGGAAAACACCTCACCAAAACTGCCACACTATAAAAGTCTTGCTACAGTGGTTTCTTACCCAGACTGCTTTTACCACAAGCAGCACTGCACTGTTCCATCTGAGGGATAAAAACCCAGCCCAAATCCTGCTCCAGCTCCTAGTGACATGTACATAATGAATTAACTGTAATTCTGAATTTTACGCCTGTAGCTTTACATTTTCAGTATAATACAGTGGTCAAAAGAAACATTGGACATAACCCAGCCAAGCTCCCCATTGATTTCAGTGAGAAAGTTGAGCACCTGCCTATTGTTAGTTGCTCCTCTTTTGCAGGGAATGGAATATCTATTTAAATCTCAATCATAGTGCTGTAGGATACTCCGTGAAGAATATCTTTTAAAGGGCATGCTACTGTTAACACAGATCCCTCTGACATCACTGGTGTAATGATCATAAAAAGGTTTGCTCAAATGATGGGTCATGACAAAAAAACATGATTTGATAAGATATAGGCTGTCAAAATGGATACGGTCACATACACATTAATGGGGTATATGTAAAAGGAGGAACCCTTTTACATATTGATATATTTCCTTTCCATGGCAGTGCTCAGCCAGTTTTCAGAAGTGTAGGAGATGGATGTGCAAGAAAAGTAGGGTAAAGACGACAACAGTGCTGAATGTTAGGTTTCTTTATATGTGTTGGGAAGCTTAATATACTTCTTTCACTCAAAATATGATGTCGACTTTGTTCTCTACTCCTCTCCTACAATGTTGGCTGGAAGTAAGCAAGAAACCTATTCAATGCTACAGCTCAAACACGCCTGCATCGAGAAAGCTTTGTCTTTTTCACTTTTTCCCTTCATCCCACAGCCTCAAATAATAAGGCCAAAGATCAAAAGTCTCGCTAGCTTTTTAGGTCATTCAAGTATCTCGATATATTTGCAGGCAATTCTAGAAAGGTTATTAATTAGTGCCTGTTGAGAAGGGGATTCTTTGGACTCAAAACACCTGCTCAACCAAAAGTGGGCTTAAGTCATTACATGTAACATTGTCTTGGACAGCTGGTAACAAGAGACACCAGCTTCCAATCACTTCAGATTCTGGAACAGATTCAAATAAGTGACCTATTTGTAAAAGGCTTCTTATTGTCTCAAAACCTTTTCACCTACACATTTCACACGTAAAAAATAAACAGAAAATTGTACACTGAAACACTGGGCACAATGCACAGACAGAAGCAGACTTTAGACAGAAGCAGACTTAATGAAATACAAAAAATGAAAATAAATAGTTTTGGAATAGCCAGATTCAATATAGAAAAAGATACACATAAATCTGTGGGTACAGACCATAGTTCAGTGGAGCTTCTGATGACACACCAGCTTAACTGAACCCGTGTACTGATTGTACACATCTGAACTAGAAGAACTACTGATCTAATCTTAAAAAATGTGCAAATTATGGGTTCTCTTAAATGAATGGGATATATATGGATGTTATAACTTAGATGGAAACAACTATTTAGTAGGGGAAAAAAACTATGGATAAGAACAGTTGCATTCTCTATGCCTTATGTAACAATTGTAAATGCTGAATTATTGTTTGCAGGTAAAATAAAATATCAATTTATATATATTGGGGCCTTGTGTTTGTGTTGGACTAGTGGAATGAACAAACCAAAAGAGAGACAAAAAGGCAAATCTGGATAATTTTTTTCAAAGAAAGCTATGCAGTGCTCAACACTTGCTTATATGCCATGTGAATGCTTTATCTTGTATACATGTAGGTGGATCTGTGGGCTCCATCCCTAAGACTTAATTGATTTCTAATTTCTAAGATTGGGCTGTTGAAGCTAAATTAGCTGCATCTTTGATCCTAACCACACTTTTTAGGGCATTAAACCCACTGAACACAGTGTGGGAATTACTTTCAAGAAAACATGCATAGGCTTCCACTGCACAGAACAACTAGTTTCCAGTGACATTTAAAAAACAACAACACCTCACTTTAGAAAAGGTACTAATTGCAAAAACAACAACACTGGTGCTCTGAATAACTTTGTTTCTGTTGCTTGCAAATAAGAAAGAAAAGAGCTTTGCCCAAAGTGGTCAGCGAATGAGATTACAGTAGTTAAAACTTAAAACTGTGCCAATACTTCCATTTCACAAATGAATAGGAAGACTATAATCTTTACTTTTTGCCTGCAGATGAACCTGAGCCACTCGGTTTTCGTTAACTTACAGCAGCATCCTATCAAACTGCAGCACAGGAAAAAAATTCAGTGGAACACCTTCTCCAGATGCGGTGCATCCAGAGAAATCTTAGCCATCATTTCCAATCATTTGGAAGTTGCTTTAAAACCACAGAGGAATACTCAAAATAGATTGCAGTGAAAAAAACATGTGCTTCTTATGGCTCTATAAGCATAACCTGACAGCTCATGTCAATGAAGTGATCACATGTCGGTGGAGGAAAATGCAATCAGAATGGTGAAAGGCTGGAGATTCACGAGCACTGGAAACTTATGCCTGGTTCACACAAACAGCACTGGGGTGGGAAGTCCATTCTGCTCAAGTTCAGACTGCAGACAAAGAAATCATACAGCTGAATTTCTCCCTGGGGGTGGGCCCTCTGCATATACAAATTGGTAGACCAAGGAAAAGATTGATCCACAATTGTGCTTTCAATATCTAGTTTTTTTGTGAGCAGGAAGTTTTATATTAAGGATCATTCAGTTCTGTTATTCTGCCACAAGCAGTTTGATGCGGTACCGTTCACAAACATGGAGTCTGCACTTAGTATTTACTAGGCTCCTGGGTGGGATTACTGTAGAGGTGTATTATTCAAGGGGCTTGGGCTATCCAAAAGAACATCTTTAGTGTCCTCTTGGTTTTCATGAAAGATTACAAATGCAGTTTGTCCTTTTAAATAATTAAAATAAATGGAAGGGAAAGCCAGATATAGTTACACACCAACAGCTTCTACTCAGGATTGCTGTTCCATGGTAACACTTAGGCCTGCCTACAGTCTGCACCCTCCCTCCCTAAATACTCATTAACCCAAGAAAAAAGGCACTTTTCACACAGAAAAGGTCTTGCAGTTTCTTGCTCAGAGACAGCCGGTTGCATGCTTAATAATAAATGGATAAAAAAGCATTCTGTTAAAATTATGTTTCCAATCTAGTGCCTGCCGTGGGAATATTTGTAGCACACAAAGCCTGCTGTGAATTTTTAACCTACAGATTGAAAAATTGCCCAAGTTTGACAAATTCTGTTGAGAGCAGGTGGGAGGCTGCTGACATTTCACTTAGTTTCAGCAAACTCTGCCGCCCCTCACTAGAGGGAAGGAGTAACAGGACTGACAGAAAGCCCCTCCCCTGCCTACTGCATGCTGTCAGTCACTGGAAAGTCAGCAGGGCAGCAGAGGGCCTGTTCCTCTTGCACAAAGCCTTGACACAGCGCCTGTTGGATGCAAGATTCTGTGGGCCCTCAGGCAAGAGACTGTATTTAGCCCCCTTATGTGCCCTTCCTCCACAGAACCAACACATTTTTAAATCACAGCACTCACCAGTTGAGATGTCTTTAAAAGAGGGATTATTAGACAAATTCATGGTGGGGGGGAGGCTATTAATGTCTACAAGTCTTGATGGTTCTGTAAGCTGTGGAATTCACTCCCTGCAGTGGTATGTCTCACACCTTTCCTAAACAAGCTTTCTGTGAACATAGAAGACCCAGAACTTTATCATAGCCTTTTACACTAGAGAGGAATGTTTTCAGGACCCACCCTGTTCTTGTGGCTGTATTTTCTTTTACCTGTTTTTAATTTCTGAATTTTAAATTGTTAAGACCTGTTGAAGGGTGGGTAGTAAGCTAGCAAGCTACTACTTATTAGCGGACAATAACAGGCAAGGGCTGTCCCCCTTACTCCCCCCAGTCCTGCTTGTGTGTTCCCCATATGCCTTTGGTTGGCCACTGTAGGAAGCAGAACATTAGGCCTTTGTCTGATATCCAGCAGGAGTCACAGCCGGTGCTCTACCCCAGAGGGCAGCAACCTAAGGTCCATGGGCTGGAAGCAGCCCATGAGCCGCCCCCTGCGCTAAAGTAGCACAGCGCAGCATGGGGACTCTCTTCTGTGGTTCTGGAAATCGCTTCTGCACAAGCCCAGACACCGGAAACTGCGTCTGCGCATGTCTGCGGCACCGGAAATCGCTTCTACGCATGCCCAGATGCTGAAAATCACCTCTGCACAGGTGCAAGTTTCGGCATCTGGGCATGTTCAGAAGTGATTTCTGGTGTCGCGCTGCGCTGGCCTGATGCACGGAGGATCTCCATGGGAATGATTCGGCCCATGCCTGGTAAGCCTTGCCGACCCCTGCGAGTCTACCCCATTTTTCCTAACCCCGGTTCAATTAAACAAAGTCTTATTCTATTTGTTTAATGCATTGCAGGGTACAGTTCTTCCCTAGATGGTCCATTAGCTACCTCACAGTTTCCCAACTCGACGGACTGCAAATGGTGATTAAATTTCAAACCCTGTTTCTATATGCAAAAAATAAAGGAAAATAAAACAAAATAATGGGTGGTTTGAAATAGCAGGAGAATGTACCACAGCATAACTAAATGACAGATTCCACATTAGCTGTCATTACAGTTATTGTTGACTTGTTGAACTTGTGACCTTATCTCAAACTTTATTTTTAGATTGTCATCTTACTGCCTTGTGCTGAATCCGAGCTGGTTGGCTTGATGACACGATTTGCATCTTCATGAAGAGCACCAAACCAATCTTTTAGGCGGGATGCAAGGGTCCTCAGCTCCTTGTCTGTGCAAGCTGTTAAGAAAATGACAATAATTAAATTAGTGAGAACATGCTACACATGTCCTAACAGAAGATGATTATTGTTCTTCTGTTTCTTGAAGAATAAACTTTGATTCAAAGACGTTTAGATTACAAAAGAGACAAGGAGTAGCAGGTCGAAGGGTTTATCAAGAAAATTCAAGGCAGCAAGACAAGATTTATTATTATACTTTAATATTGCCTAAGTGGGAGACAATTTATGGTTTACAATCCAGACAAAAATCCATCTCACAAGATGTGTGGGAATTTTTGGGTTGTCACCTTTTAGGTCTTCTGAGAAAGAACATCAATCAAACAGCAATAGGAAAAAAGAAAGCCATCTAGCATTGCTATTAGAACAAGACCCTGAGAATAATTTATATCCCTTGTTTGGTTTAGTTTAAAGCTATTGTCATGGCAATAGGAAATCTTTCTTTTAATGGAAGCTGTCATGTTCTCCAATTTGACGACAAATAAGACTTTGCAACCTCTTAAGGGTGTCTCTGCTTCTTCATCTTACCTGGATGAAAGCATACACTGCTTGCTTCCATTATAAATTTTTATTGGGAAACATCTAATTTTTTTCTCATAAATTTCTGCCAAGAGATTAGTGCCCAGCAGAAGCCAGTATTTATTAGGGGGGGGGGATTAGACAGTGCTTCCTGACACAAAGAATGTTCCAGGTTTGCATTATCTTCAGTGTTTGAATTCACAGATTGAAGCCATTTTATCATTCTTGTCATAAACTCATTCTAAAATTTAAATAACTTTTCTTCAGATACAAAAGAAGGTTTTTCTCTAGTAGCATAGGACATGCTTTACAGAATAATCCACAGCAGAGAATCCCTATTCAATGCATATTTTAATACAGCTCCTCCAACTATCTCTGATATAGTCACATGAATGTCACTGTGCTTTATAAAGCTAAGTGACAAGACAGGTTCTTTTTTTGCTGCAAGGACCTTAGAGTTTAAAACTGTGAGAAGAAAAAAGAGCATGACAAATGACAGGGATGGCCAACAGAAGGACAGTGTATCAAAGGCAAAGGCAAAATCAATTGCATGAACCAATACAACTGAAGATCATATCAGAAGGCAAGAGAACGTAGACTCATTTGTGAAACATGCTCAGCCTGGGACTACAAAAACAATTGGTGGGAGGAGTCCAGGCATCTTGGTTGGCCACTATATATGGTTGGTGGACTACATTCAGGTTATGGTGGCTCTTACATTGGTTAGGTCAGCTCTATTCACTAGATCATGGTAACTTTCACACTCATTCTCAAGTCACCAGCAAATAAACTGGGCTCTACAAAATCTACTGAATAAGAAATGAAGACTTGCTGTTCTTACATGATCTCAAAGTTCTGCAAAGGTGTTTTTTTTCTTAACCAAAGACATAAACATGTAAAATTGGCAAATTATAGTGAAAGGAAATGCAATTTTAACAAGAATGCTGTTTTTATTACCAAAAAGGCTATGTATTATTCATCATTCTATTCTTTATTATCAGAAACATATGCAACCTTATATTTTATTTATTATATTCTTCCTCTTCCTTGGTTTGCTTTCACGTAGGAGCAAAATACCTTAATTAATGAATTATCTGAGGACATGAAGTATTCTTTCCTCCCAAAAGCTGAACTGCTGATAATGAAAAAGTACTTCCCATTTCTCATCAGTTTTACTTGTTGAAACCCTTTGGAAAAACTCTGGGCTGCTGAAAACACTTAGAGGTAATTTCTCCCCTCCCCCCAAGCACCACAATTTTTGTACTTCCTGGTTCTCATGGGCAAACTCTGGTTTGTTCAAACTCCCCCGTCTCAAGTTTCAATGAGAGAGCAAATTACGGCTTGTCAGGAAGTGTAGAAATACAGTGGTACCTCGGGTTAAGGACTTGATTAAGGACTTGATTCGTTCTTAACCTGAAACTGTTCTTAACCTGAAGCACCACTTTAGCTAATGGGGCCTCCTGCTGCCCCCGCGCCGCCGGAGCACAATTTCTGTTCTCATCCTGAAGCAAAGTTCTTAACCTGAAGCACTATTTCTGGGTTAGCGGAGTCTGTAACCTGAAGCGTATGTAACCTGAGGTACCACTGTATTGGTATGTGAAAGGAAAGGGAAAGAGGAAGAGGGAGCCTGTAAGCCTAAGGCTGGTGCACTTTCTAGCATATCCAACAGTTATCGTGCATGCATCCAGAACTCTAACACCATTTGAAAATCTAACTTTAAGTACTAACACAGAATCTAAACATGCATAATCAATAATATATAAAATCATTAGTGACATACGATTAGGACAAACAAATTTGATGAAACATACTTGGGAATCTGATCTAGATACAGTAATTGAGGAGGTAGATTGGCAGAGCCTGCGGGGCAAAAAGCCCTTAAATTCAGTGCCCAGGCTCATAAAACAGAATACTCTTAAGCTGCTACACAGATGGCATTTAACACCTTTGAGGTGCAGTCATATTAATGAAGCTATTTCTGCTCTTTGCTAGAGAGGGTGTAAAGTGATTGGAACATAGACATATGCCATGGGCCTGCAGCAAATTACAGCCATTTGGGAAAAATGCTGTTGGTGAAATAAGTTTGATCACAAAACAAATGTTATTTGCACCCCACCTTTAGTACTGGTAACAATCTTTAAAAATGAAAATGTCAAGCTGAGATACAAATAATTGATTGCTTTTCTTTAAGTAGCAGTTTGACAACTTGTTGCCCAAAATTAGAACACTTAGAAATGTCACAATGGAAATGAAAGTTTGGATTACCTTCAGAAATATATATATATATAAATGACCAAGAAAATTAAAGCCTTAGCTGGAAAGAGAGATTGGGGTGATTTTATAGATACATGGTACCCTTTCATCACATACTCAACAGAACATCAACTACAGCAGCATCCATTGGACTTGCATTTGAAATTGTGGAATGATGTCTTCCCTTAGGAATCTGTGGTTTGGGAGAGGTGAGGGGAAAGGAAAATGGGGAGTTATGCTCACAGTGGTGGGTATGTGCATGCACATGTGATTGCATTCCAATATTTCTCCCCGGTCAGTACTAATAGAAATTCCATTTAAAGCCAGTTGGGAAGCTGGGAACACACTTTAGAAACAGGTTTCCTAATTAGACCAAATATTCACTGCTGACATTTCATAAAACCAAGCAAGTAGCTCTTTTATGAAAATGTGCGTATTTACACTGACGTTCTCTGTCCCCGTCCCCACCCCCCTGCTGCCTGTAGAGGGAAGAAGAAAAAGGCTGTTATTCTTCAATGCTGGGGAAACTACATTTTTCTAGATACAAACATTTCATGTCAAAGTGGTTCCCCAGTGTTATCATACACAATGTTCTGGGTGTTTTAATGGCCAGCTTTCTAGAAGCACAGTGCCTGTCCTGATAACCACCTCTGATCCTCCTGTCACTTATTTACACCTGGTGCTGCAAATAAAGCTGGAGACAACAAGATGCGTAGTAATAGCTGTGAGATGAATGCAGGACCTGCCAAAGCAGCCGAACAGAGGAAACGCATTCTGATGTGGAGCTTACATAAAGCAGGGTTTTTAAAGAACAAAGCTCAGAGATAAAATAGCACAAAGACAGAGGGCTGCCGTTCAAAGATGCACAGAGAGAAGCACAGTGCCATAGCCTACTTTCCTAGTTCATGTCAGATGCTTCTATGTAAGTGTTAATTAATTCTGTGAGAACCTTGAAAGTTTTGGCAGTTCAGCTTACTCAGATGCCCAGAAATCTGGAAGCTAATCAGAGACTGATGCAAACTATTTTAGCATACTGGGCAGGAAGATTATACTTCCCTATTGTACACCACCTGTAATGCTTTGCCAGATGTTTCTCCCTTTCTGGCATGGTGCTTCTGCTTTCAACAGCTGCACAACAGGCTGCAATTCTGTGTAGCTTTCTCTAGCATGGTAGTGTAGTGATGCTACAAGTTCTCCTCACTGACAAGTTGCAAAATTTATTCTAGTGAGAAAATATGAGGTTTTTTATTTGTTGCTGTTGTTGTTGCCAATTAATTGGTTACCTTTTATTCTGTCAGGACTCCTGTAATTTTGGCAATGGATAAAGAAAGCAGTGTTTGGGGTTTTTTGTTTTGTTTTAGCAGTCATTTTCACGGCAAAAACAGGATAGCTGCAGCGAGGACATTGCAGAATTGCGAGAACATTGAAGGAAGTCAGTGCTTCAGTTTGCCATTTTGGAAAATGCAAATGTTGCAGGGTCACCTTTAAATGCTAGCTGAACTGAATTCATTCCCCATCTTTCCTTCCACTAGTGACCCCTTTTATTCCTATGCCAATGCAGATCCCACACATATTCCAACCACCCTCTCTCCCTTCGTTCTCCACTGTCTTCCTTTTCAAATCAACCGTACTCTTGAGCTTTGTAATACCACTTTTTTCTCATTCAAAGCAGGGCCCCATTTGCCTCAACATGGGGAGGAAAAAGAAGATGCACTTCATAAGATTGGGGCAAAGCTTGTGGGTGTACAAAAATTCAAACCATAAGGAAGCTAGGAGTATACAGATACAACTGGTGCCAATGGGAAGTAGGCAAATGTGACGCCCAAAGATTGCAACATTATGCAATTACTTGCATGTGTCCATGGGCTGTTGCAGCTCATCTAACATTACGGGGAAAATGTCATAATGCCTTAACCAAAACCCAGTGCCTTTCACTGGTGCCAGTTATCACATTTATCTGACCATCATATGTAGTTTCTGTACATGTGATCATGGATGCTGCAAAATTCACATTCCCACTTCGTATGGCGCAAGTCTCTCCCACTTGCATACAACCTTGGATCAATGCATAGACAGAAAAGTCCTACGATAGAAGGATGGAGAACTAAAATGATGGACTATGCAGAATTGGACAGAATGACAGGAAGGATCCGGAATCGACGAGATCAAAGATTTGCAGAAGATTGGGAAAAGTTTATCCAATATATGCAAAAACTTAGTGATAATAAAA